AGGTATGCTATTGGTATGTTGATTGGTATTGCATTAAATCTATAGAGTTTTGGCAGTATGATGATTTCCACTATCTTGGTTCTGCCTATTCAAGAACAAAGGATGTCTTTCCATTTTCTGATATCCTCTTTGATCTCCTTTCCTAGAGTACAATAATTTTCAATGTATAGATCTTTCACTTCCTTTGTTGGACTGAAGGTATTTCATTTTTTAAGTTATTGTAAAAGGTGTTGTTTCCCTAATTTTTCTCTCAGTGAATTTGTTATTTGTATGCAGGAATGCTGTTGATCTTTGAGTACTGACTTTGTATCCTGCTATATTGTCAAACTTGGTTAGTAATTTTAGAAGCCTTTTGGTGGAGTTTTGGGGGTCTTCTACTTAGACTATTCTGTGGTCAGCAAATAATGATAATTTAACATCCTCCTTTCCTATCCATATTTTTTTTTATTTCTTTCTCTTGTCTAATTACTCTGACTAATGTTTCTAGAACTATCTTGACTAGAAGTGGTAATAGTGGGCATCTTTGTCTTGTTACTGATTTTGGAGTCAAAACTTTCAGTGACCAGTATGACAGTGGCTATTCGTTTATCATAGATGGCATTTATCAGATTGAGATAAAGATTTTCTGTAGGTTTTTTTTTTATCATGAATGGGTGTTGGACTTTGTCAGATGCTTTTTCTGCATCAATTGAAATGATCATGTGGTTTTTGTTCTTGGTTCTGTCAATGTGGTGTATTACATTTATTGATTTGTGTATGAAGAACTATCCCTGCATCCCTGGAATGAATCCTACTTGGTCATGGTGTATAATCTTCATGATGATTTGCCACATTCTGCTTGCTAGTATATTGTTGAGTATTTTTGTATCTATGGTCATTAGGGAAATTGACCTATATTTCTCTTTTTTGGTTGGATCTTTTTCTGATTTTGGTGTCAGAGTAATACTTGCTTCTAGGAATGAGTTTCGGAGTATTGCTTCCCTTTCAATTTCATTAAAGAATTTGAAGAATAATGGCATTAGATATTCTCTAAATTTCTTGAAGAATTCAGCAGTGAATT